CCCTGTAAGGCTGGAGCAGGAAGGCACAACCCAGGGCACACCTGCACCTCTGTAATTCCAGGCTGGATACAAGGGCAGGTCCTGAGCAGAGGCCTGCAGCAGCCCTGCTTGGGACCTGCCACAGCACTGGGTTACCTTCCATCCCACCCCACATCACCGAGCGTGTCCCAGCCAGACTCCAGACATTCCCCTTCATGCACACAGGGTTCCACACCCGCCCTTACTCATGCAGTAACCTGATTAGACTTGGCTCTCACTTGTCGCACCACCTGATTTACACACAGCACTGAAGACCACAGGCTCTCAGTTATTAATTGCAGGGTGCCAGATGTGGGAGCTGGTTTACACAGAGTGAAAGCAGGGCAAGGTTTGTCTGCCCTGAAATTTCGCAATGCAGAGAAAAAGTCCCGGAGTGGAATGTTGTTTAGATCAAAACACAAACCTTGAGGAAACTTACACCATAACTGCAACCCTGTTCTGTACGTGGTGCTTAACTAAACCGAAGTCAGGTCAGGGTAAAACACTACCTGTCAGATGGCTGCTGTCTGTTCTTACACCAAATTCCATACGGGATTTCACCGCTGCCTTTAGCATGTGTTATGCAGCAGACAACACACACACCCCATAGTTTTCTGAAACCTCAGGCTAAATCATCCTGTTCTTGCATTCTCTCCCTGTTCTCTGTAGGAAAATGTCTTGCTTGTGCTTGCTCTGTGGATCAACCTGCACAATACTTTTCTTTTGCTGGCTTTAAAAGCCATTCTCCAGATTTTATTCAGAATATTTTCATTCTTAACCATCACCTGGATCCCGGCCAGTAGGAAACATTCATCTCTTAAACTTTACAGCCTGGTACCATCCTCGCCTTCTCCTGCTCTCCCGGTGCTGTGCTCTGCTTATCTCAGTGTCACTAAGGAATGCAGCGCTCATCCCGAGCATTCCTTTTTTGCAGAGGGGTTTTGTGCAGCACTGAATCAGCCCCAGGGAGGGGGCATCTGTTTCAGCTCTTTGTGCATCATCCGTGTGAAAAGACTGACAAAAATGCCTGCCTTTACAAACATTCCCCCAGGTTGCCACCGTAACTCTTAGAAACAGAGAAAAAAGGAGAAGAATAACCTGAAGGCAATGACATAAGAACAGGCCGAAGTGACTTGTAAGGGAAAACTCTGCCTGCTGCTACCACATGATTTCAAAGAAACTGGTGAGAAAATGCTGCTGTCTGCCCTGGGGAACCTGCAACAACACCTGGGCAGCTGTTTGGGATGTAGTAGCACAGCAGTAATACTCCAGATGATTAAAGTCAGAAGCTAGGCAAAGAGCTGGGAAAGCACAATGCCTGCCTCAAAAAGTGGGCATCCAAAAGCAGAAACAAAAGTGGGAAATGAAAATAACAAAAGCTCCTTTCCCAAGGGTGCTCTGCTGCTTGCAAGAGGTTCTCTGCATCACCCAGAAATCAAGCACCTCTGGGCAAAGACTCCACCTCCCTTCACCTTCACTGAAGTGAGTGGTCCACTTGCTGGGCTGCTCTCCCAGTCTTACAAGGCTTGTTTCTGTCTCCAAAATGAAGTCAAGTAAGGGTGAACCTGGTAAAAACAAGGCAGCATTTGGTTCACCAGTTTTCATGGAAGAGTTTCTTTAAGAGATTAAAATCAATAAAATCATCAATGTCAAGTCACTGTCTGTAAATACTGAGCTAAAGGCAGCAAACACAACACAGGTACTTAGCCCAAGGCAGAGGGAAGCCACCTCCCTGCTTCCTGGCTTTCCCGAAGAAAGCCAGAGGGAAGGGAAGGCTTCCAGCAGCCCAGCTGGAGCTGGACTTTCCTCCTATTCTACCAAATTCTTCAGATTTTTGTAACCTGCTCCAGTTTGCCCTTTGAGCCTCAGAGAGTGCAGATCCCTGCTGGTACCTGCTAGTGCGCACGTGCCCCTGCGCAGGGCTCAAGCGCAGGCCTGTGAGCTGCTCCACCAGGATTAATCTGTGGGATTAGCCCCTCGTTTAGGAAACTATTTGTCTTGCCTCAGAGCCATTCCACACAGGAACAATATGTACATCCCACCCAGCCTCCCAGGGAACCCCAATGGCTCCAGAGAGTCCTACTAAAAGACCATATCTTGTTCTGTGGATGTTCTGGTGTTTTTCAAGGCTCTCTCCTCACGCAGATAATGAATGACATGGTCAATAGATAAGGTCTGTACACGCAGACCCAAGGTTTGGGGGAAAACAAGACCTTGGTCTGCACTTTAGCACTGAAGCATACAGGCCTGCATTGCCTTCACGTCATGGATCTGGTTTGTTGTCCTCAGAAATGAAAAGCACTGACCACTGCTCTCCCTGGGAGTTTTGTCTTACAGCTGCAACTGAACCACCACCCTTTTGCTTTTACTTCAGAGCCGTCTCTTCCAGTTCATCTATTCCCAGTTCCTGGCTTTACAATCAGCTCTCAACCAACCTAATTATTATTTGAATTGTGGGAATGCTGAGAAACCCAGCTCTGGGCAGGTCCCTTGGTGGGAGATGTTTTACACTGTCAGCCTTACTTATCCAGCAAAGGATGAGAGAAGCAGCAGGAAGGGGATTCTCCCAAGCCATGCGGTACAGCAGATGCAGAGAGAGAACACAGCCCACACACAGCAGGACTGAGAAATGCCTCCCAAGTCCATCACATGCAGCACGAGATGCCACAGGCCCTCTCCATCAGCCAAGAGAATTCCTCTCTGCAGGAGCAGCTCCTGACATTTCACAAGGGCCTCCTTAGAAAAGTCACTTGTCCCACATGAACACTCCCAGGATAAACTCCCAAGTGCAGGAGTTTTAGAGAGAATTATAAACACTTGAAGCCTTTTATTGGCGCCCAGAGAAAGCACCCAAAGCCCATGTTAGCAGACCGAGCCTTGGCTTTACATCATCCCGACCTGCTAGCAAAGAAACAGTCATTCCTCTCCCTTCCCCCTCGTCAGTGGCAGACGTGAGAGTCGGGACTACAGACACTGCTCTTTTCCCTTTCCCCCTCTCTGCTTAGACAAAGACAGAGGGAGCAGCCCTGCCTGAGTGTTGGGAAATAAGAGCCCTCCCACCCACCTCCTGCTAGGGCCAAGGGAGCGGGAAAGCTGCCTGGAGCCACCCCCTCTCCAGGCTGGGGAAAAGCTGGATGCGGGGGAGCGAGCCTGGAACAAACCTCGGCTGCGCTTGTGGGCAGAGCCGCGAGCAGGGAAAGCTGGGAACAGACAAGAGGCATTTCACGCTCCCGGCTGAGTCACCCCCGTGTATAAAACCAAGGCCGGGCAGTCAGAGCCACGCAGAGCGGAGGCACGACGCGCCGGGACTTCGGGACAGGTATGTGCAAGCGGATGCGGTTTAGAGGCAGGGACTAAGATTATATCTAAGATCAGCATCTAACAGTCCAATTTCCTCCCATCCTCTCCCTGCCACGTGCTGGGGAACCGGGAATCCAGCAGCTCCAGTGACCGGGAAGCCCTAAGGCTCCTCGGCTTTTGGACCATTCCACTTGACAAAAAAGGACACAGACAACCAAAATACACTAATTTTTGCTGGTCAAATAAGCTATTTAGCTGGTCCCTACTTCAAACCTGGGATGGCAGCAACAGATGATGGTCTGGGCAAGCCCTGGGACCATTCAAGGAACAGCAAGTAGCAATTAAGGTCTGGATTAAGTCTGAAATATCATAGCACATGGGACTTCAGTCACACCCCTACACTGTAATGTATTTTTGGATGAGGAATGATCGTTACGATGCCTGGCAGCACAAAAGCTCAGTAAGAAGAGCGCTAGTTCTGGGCTGTGGTTAGATAACCTGTGCAGCCTTGGACAAGTCGTTTAGGACTTCTTTTCCTTTCTTGTAATGACAGAGACATTTGTTGGGGTGGGGTGGGGATGAGGAGAGAGCACAGAGGGAATTGTAACACTCAACAACATGCTTCATGGTACACACGCCTCTGGGGCCCTGATCCACGAGTGCTCTCAGTTTCTGAGCACTTCCACTGCAATGTGGTTCAGGAGCTGCATTTTCAGCACATCCTGTCCCCAGCAGTTGGGGTGCATTGCATGGTGCATGCACTCACCTGCAGCAGGGCCCCAGCCCTACCACCGCCTGGCAGATGGGCTCCAGGGCACTGCAGGAGCAGAGCAGGAGGGCAAGTCTCAAATGCCTTTGTGGTCACCACCATACCTGTCACTCAGAACAAGGCTGAACTGCCCTGGCGGAGCCCATACAAGCCCCAGGGTTTTGATGTTTTGTTAAGGGAAGAAAAGCCCTTCCTGCCATTGGAAAGGCACATTTACCTGCCCACCCCATTGCAACTCAGCCCACTTTGGGCTCACTTGTCCTTTACTGTCTGACAACTCTCCCCTCCCTTTGGATGCACACATTTGATTTGTACAGAAAAAAATCCCTTGCCACACTCACACCTGACCCCAGCCCTGTTGCTTGGGTATCACCCCATTAGATAATTCTTCCCAATGGGCTGGACACTGCAGCATGTCTGCCCTGTTGAGAGCAATACACAATCAGGTATAAAAGTCAAGTCTCATAACATGGTAATATCCCTTTCCTGCACCTTGTCCAGTGCAGCACTGACTGGTATTTTTACACTACAGTACCCTTGTGCTGTTGGGGAGCCCACCTCTGGTCATACTGATGCTGAGGGTACTGGTGTGGGAACCAGACACCTGATAACAATTTGGTTGCTTTCTGCATGAAGAACTGTAGGTACACTTAGAATTGCACGAAGCTCCTGTCCCCAAGGGTTCTGTGATTACTGAGGCTTAATTACAGAAGAGATATTAATTATCTCTTCCGCTGTCTGGATGCAGTAGGAAAGGACTTACAAATGCCTTCACTTTTACATAGCTTGTTACTGCCTGGAGGGATTTTAATTTAGCTCTTAACGCTGATGTTTTGTGATGTTTTGTTTTCTCCTTCCTGAAACAGAACCCAAACAGATCTTGCAAGTTCATTGCAAGGCACTTAGGAGAAGGATGTTTTCACGCTTGCTCATCCTCTCTTTGCTGGTGGGGAACACAGCGTCCAGCCCAGTGAGCAGAGCACAGGCTGCAGCATCCGGGGACGTCACCCCCTTTTTCCAGCTGGCTCAGGAAGACCCTTGGGAGAACGTTAATCTCACCAGCATGTCCTGTGAGGATCGCAAGAACAGGACATGGATCACCCTGCAGCTCACCAACAACAGCCTCACGGCTTTCCCTGTCTGCCTTCCAGAGGCACTGGAGACCTTGGATCTCAGCAACAACCTCTTAGAAGAGGTGAATGGCACGGAGATAGCAAACCTCCCGCAGCTGCGCGTCCTCTCGCTGCGGCAGAACCAGCTCTGGTCACTTAGATGGGGATCCAAAGCCCTCAGCAGCCTCGTCTCTCTGGACTTAAGCTTTAATAAGCTGTCATCTGTGCCATCATGCCACAGCTCTGCTCTGCCTAACTTGAGGTGGTTGTCCCTGGCTGGAAATCCACTGATTGAAATCCAGCCGCTGGCTTTTTCCTGTTACCCTCAGCTACAGTTCCTGAACCTCTCTGCAACACTGCTCGGGCAAGATGACAGCACAGGAATTAGAGAGTCTGCTTTTGCCATCAGCACATCTCCCAGTGAGGCCACAAATAGGCCTGGAAACATCAACGTGCTTGATCTAAGCAGGACCTTCCTTGAGAAAAGTAAGTTTCTGGACTTCCCACTGTAAACATGGGGCTTGGTCAGGCTGGGGGGAGCATTAGCCTTGTACAGACCAGACACCATGGAATAGGACTACTTGTCCCAAGTGTAGTCACCCACCTCCCTCCTAATCCCACTGTCTGCTACTGACAGTCATCCCACTGTCAGCCCTGAGATTAGTTGGGCCACACAGGAGGAAACTAATCTCTCTTTCCTGACACACTGCTGAGATCTTTGTCTCTCCCCTCAGTTACATGGAGTTTTATACCGCTGCACTGAAGGAGCACAGAGAGAGGCTTTTTGTGTCAACCGCAACTGGCCAAATCCTTCCACACAGTGAGACAATCCCTGCCCTGAGCAAAGGACAGCATGATTTGTCTCTGTCTGCCTCCCCTGCCAGCCCCAGTTTATAACTGAGTTGCTGATGCAGACGGATGTTGGATGCCTTGCCCAACTGCTTTCAGCCTGGGGCACATATCCAGGACTTGGGGACTCCTCAAGCCAGAGGTTTTACCCCAACTCACACATAACATATACACCACCACCAAAGTTCTGCCATGAATTTGCCTAATCCCTGCTGTGGTAGTGAGTTACACAACTCAGTCATGGGATGGAAAGGGACTTTTATGTAAGACCTACATAAAATTCTTTCAGTTTTGTGCCTCTCAGCTCTTTTTCCTGTACTAGGACAAGTAAGAAGATACTTGCCTTTCTCACACCAGTCAGGACTTTGTAGATCTCCCTAATCTCCCCCCTATTCACTACTTCTCTGAGCCGAGAAATGCCTGTTCATTTAATGTCACCTCACAGGAAAGCTATTCCCTATCTCTTATCAGCTTTATTGCCCTTCTATCTTCCCTTCTTTTCCTCTGCCCTGTGACAGCATGATCTCTGTGTGGGTAACATTACAAAAACGTGTTTGCACTGGTGTTACACATTGCTGTACTGATGTTTGTTCTGTTCCTTTCCCAAAGAGAAGAGCTGCAGAAGACTACAGAGAGGTTTTTAATCTCTATGAATTCAAACCCTTTCTATTGGCAGAAAGCCACAGGAATGCTCTATTTAGGCAACAGGTATAAATCTTTTTATCTGCTTCAGTTCAACCAGAGTGGACCAGAGACTTGCCCAGCCTCAGATCACTTCACCTGACAAAGATGTCACGGTTAAGAAGCCTTGATACTGACTTCTTCAAGTCCATGCCTGCTCTCCAGGAGCTGAACTGTCAAGACTCCCCCTCACTGGCTTTCGTGCAGACAGAGATGTTTGACAGTGCTCCTCATCTGAGCCAACTCTCGTTTGAGAAGTGAGTTGTTTTCTTTTCTGTTCTTCCTCACATCACGTTGCCTTCGCCTCACAGCACAATGGGGCCTGGGAGCTGTTTTTTATGCAGAGTTTGCTGGTTATCAGATACTTAGGAAGGAGGTACTGCCATGCTCAGATATGCCATGTAAAGCCTGTGATGTAGACCTGATACAGCAGAAGAGCTGGTACAGCCCAAAAAGGTGACATGAGACTCGTAGCACAGTTACTGGTTGCTTGAGATCACATCCATCATGCTCCCACTCTTCATCCTATGGATTAATTCATCTAGCACTGTTAAAATTAGCATAGATGCACTGAAACCCACTTGTGATACAGCCCATGCTTCCACCATCTACAATGGCAATGTCTCACCAGAGGATTTCTTGCTCTAAAAGGATGAATGCTGACAGCTTCCTAAAATCCACACCATGGAAGCAGTCAAAAGTCCTGTCCCTCCTGCTTTTAGTGTGAGAGATTAATATAGTACCTTGTTCAGCACTAGTAAATGCAATGGTTGGGTCCTTATCCTAGAGGTAATAAAAGTAGATAAACTGCACACAGAACAGCCAGCATAAGGGAAGAGATTTGAAGGGCACCTTCAAAGATTTCTATAACACAAGCCCAGATTATAAGGGTATCAGAATACAAATACTTGAGCACTGGCTGTGCTCTAGGAACCAGTTTCAGGAAAATAGCCTATTTAAGCAAAGAAGAAAACCCAGTGGTTTCCATCCCCCCCTGAATTTACACAGCACTTTACAATACCTGCTGGAACCAGTTCGAAGTGCTAAAAATCACGACCCAAACTTAAAAAACCAAAGGAGTAGCAGTTAAAGTCTCAGACAAAAGAGAGCATCTCCTGAGTACTGCAGGGAGGTCACATTATCACTCTTTGTGCAGCTTAACAATAACGGCAAACAAGGTCTTCCTGTTTCAGTCATTCGACTTTAGTAGGTGAGAGCCTATAGCATGAACGAGGCAATTAACACGAAGAGGATGCTTGGCACAGAGACAGCCATTCCAAACAGGCTGAGAAAGAAGCTGGAGAAATGGTATAGTAAGAAGTGGAGCTGAACGTGGAGCTTAATGGCAGAGGGGAGATCATCTTTCACAGAAGATCCTTGCCAAATGCCATGTTCTTTCCCTTCCAGCTGCCATCTCCAAAGGTGTTATCCCCTTAGGATGCTTTTGTTATGCTTTTAACACATAGCAGGTACACGGTGCAAATTAGATGGGCAGGTATTAGCCTGTGCTCTAGTGCAGAATGGTGGTGTCGATGACTGGCTGCTTTCAAGGGAACTGGGAACATTGCTTTGTCTTACACATGCTGGGACACTAAGCACACTCCAGTCCTTGGAAGGTGTCTCAGAGTTTGCTAATTATTGCATTTGTCATTTTGTAGCTGTAACCTGAGTTCCTTTAATCCTTGGAATACCAATTCCTCGGATAACATCATCATCAGCTTGTACGGAAATCCTCTGATATGCGACTGCCAGCTCTCCTGGCTGCTCTCCAAGCCCAAGAAAGTTGTGCTGCAAAAGTAAGTGGGTTCAAGGAGTTTAAGTAATGCTTTTAAAACATAACTTGAATATGTCATTTATTTGGAGACCAAACACTCGCTATCATCTAAGTTATTCAAATTCCTTCTGTGTTTTTCCCTTCTACAAGAGGTAGAAATGCAAAGTAAAGTCCCCCTCAGGGACAAAGTGTGGCTGAATTATACTTGAACAAAAGTACTTGGACAAAATGTGATGGGCACAGCAAAGAACAGTATAAAGTGTTGTCACTCGTGGAATGTACTTTAGGATGAGAACAGTTTGTTTTCCCTCTATTTCGGTTCACATTTCTCTGTTAGCTGGAGATAAAAGATGACCTGGTTTGGTGGCCCTGGGGAGCCAGCACTGGGAGCGGGAACTGAAAGACTGCAAGAACTTCAGCACATCATTTTCTCCTTGTATTCCCAAAGCCTGCATCAGCACAGGCAGTCAACAAACCCCCTTGCAAATAGCACCACTTGTCACCTATTGTTTCCATGCTCTCCTAGGGTTTTACAGAATAATTACAATAAACTGTACTTAAAAGAAGTGTTTTGCATATGTATGATATCTCTGCTGTTTGAAAGGCCACCAAGAAGGTTTGTCAGAGAGAGCAGGGAAGTAGATTGTTTCTTGACAGGATGGGCTTAGCAGTTGCATCCTCTTCAAAAACGTGCCAAGTCTGAGTAAAGAACTTACTCAGACATTGTAAGGCTTAAAGAAAGAGCTGAGCCATTTAAAAGCATGTCCTATGTCAGTACAGCTCCAGCTGCCTAAACCAGCTGGTTTAAGGATCTTGGGGACCCTGTAACATCTCTTGTGTGTTCCTTCTTAATGTAGCATTAGAGTCTGACCTTCATGACAAGTTGCCCTGACCCATCACTCTTGCTAAGGTTTGCAATCCTTGTACCAAAGGATGCTTCCTCTGAGGCAAAAGATATTCCTGCACCTTAGAAAAACTAAAAGCCAGTCAGCTAAGCTCCCAGTGCTGTGGAAAGCCATCTGCCAAGCACAGAACTACTGTTAAAACAACCTAGCTTTGGTCTAGGTTGCAGGTCTTCCTTAATGTAAAGGCTGGTTTTGGACAGCAGGTTGCCAATTTCAACCCAAGCAGCCTTACAGAAGCCTTTTATGTACTTGTGGATCATGTCTATTCTACCTTGTCCCCTCTGCAGGGCTTGGGAGACTTTCTGCTACACATCCCAGGAAGATTGGGGCAGACCTTCAACATCTTTGTCACTGCTAGAGCTCTACAACAGATGCCAGGCTGAGAGAAACATTACGCTGCCCGATTCAAACACACCCTCTCCCACACATGGTGCTTTCAGCCTCAGCAGTTACGATGCCACTACTGTAGTAACAACAACAGACTCTGCCCCACTAACCCAAGACGCTTATATCAGCTCCCTAATTCAGATGAACGTAATGAGCGCAACAGCAGCCAAGCCAACTGAGCTGGTGCTCACAGAGGCCTCCCACAAGGAGGAGGCAGTTTCTGAATCCATGAGCACCCACGAGGAGGAAGCAGTTTCCCAATCCACAAGCACCCACAAGGAGGAGGCAGTTTCCGAATCCACGAGCACCCATAAGGAGGAGGAATCCATGAGCACCCACAAGGAGGAGGCAGCTTCTGAATCCATGAGCAATCCTCCTTCCTTTGCGTCTGTAACCACCTCCCTGGGTTTTCTCAAATTGTTCTATGATCAGTCCTCAGATCATGGCTCCACGAATCAAACTGAAACAGATCAGCTAAAGAGAGAGCTCAGAACAACCACCGCGACGTTTCCCCAGGAAGGCACAGCCAACCAGCCCACGAGTGATTATTCTACCACAACAAAGGGAAGCCCCAATGCCACTGACCATTATCTTCACTCCTTTGCCCTTTATGCTGAGGAAGGTACACCACAAACAAGCCTTCCACAGCTGAACTCCACAAAGACCAGTGCTCACTCACAGCCTGCATCCACCAGATCTCTGATACACTATGTGGATGACTACGATTACGACGAACAGTCAACGCAAACCCCAGTGCAAGTGCCATACACCTCCTGTGACTACAATCCTTGCAGGCACCTTCAGAAGCCATGCAGTGAACTTCAGAGAGAATCCAGATGTTTATGTCCTGGCATGTCGAGGGAAGATGAGGTTCCAGATGCACCAAGGCTCAGAGAGGTGTCTGAAGTTACAGACAGTTCTGCACAGATACGCTGGTGTGCCCCAAATTCAGTTGTTCACACCTATGAGCTGATGTTTCATGCCCAAGGCAACGAGGACAGACAGCTTGTCCTGGACAATATTTATTCCACAGCAAGGCAGCACACTCTGTATAATCTACTGCCATACACCACGTACCACATTTGTGTGACTGCTTCCAACAAAGCAGGGTCGAGCCAGACAGCAGTGCAGGGAATTCCAGGTAATTCGTGCACCAGGTTTAAAACAAAGCCCAGCTACAAGTCTGTCTTTGCTGCTCTGTCTGCAGCAAGTGGACTCTTTCTCATTTCCACAATTATTTTGTCTGTATGTCTGTGTAAGGCATGTAAAAAGCCTCAGAGTGAGCAATATGGTACACACTTGGTCTCTTACAAGAACCCAGCATTTGATTATCCGTTAAAACTACAAACCAGTAATTAGCTCTGGGTGATTGTTCTGCACATTCAAAGCTCATTGTCTCTCATCACCTTGGTATGTTTGCCTGAAACTCTCCAAACGTCCTTCAGCAAAACTATGAGACATCACTTCACAGCCCTTATGTTTCTAAGGGAGAGAAAACACACAAAACCTAATGATGATGTTAGTCAAACAGAAGAAAGTCTTTGGACTCGGTCATGTGCTAAGCAGCAGCAAACCTGGACACTGACCTTGAAGAGCTGTTTTCATGATCACTTACAAACACACCAGCATGCTTTTCATACAGTGAGAGGCTGCTTTGCCAGCTGTCTGCCTCCAGCCGCTCTCATGGATACAGTGCCAAGAGCCATGATCCAAGATGCATCTAGCTTAAGCAAGATAGACTCTGCTTTTATTCTTATAAGTGAAGTTGGGCTTTCAGTTTCTTCTAAGGTCCATATAAAGGTATTGCCCCAAAAGAGAGTATTACTGGAAGGAGAGAAAGATCTCTTTGGGCTGAGTGGCAAGGTGCTGTGTGGGTCTAACTCCATTAAGTAACTCCAGGCACTGCAACTGCTGAGCACAAGCAGTTCAGGAGAGAGAAAGATAAAGATTAATTGTAAAAAAGGACAGTGCAGGATCCTTAGGACAGGAATAATTGTTTTGTTCTGACTTGTATGACGTTTTCTACAACTGAGGCTCCTGAGTGCTACCACAACACCATCTTACAGGCAGTGAGAAGTTTGCAGTACAGCAGTAGCCCACAGAAGGGCACATTAGCATTTGCTTCAGAATTGATTTTAAGCAGGGATGATTGCTCAGTCCTATCTACAGATTTAGCAAGCTGACAATTTACCTCCTACAGAGGCAAAGAGCCAAGTAATGAAACAATTTAATGTGCATGTTGCTGAGACTTGAAAAACTGAAATCCCATCCACTCACAACAGTTATGCAGACATTTTTCAAACGTACTTTTGGGTGCTAACTTCTGCTACAGAAATCGTAAGATGCTGAGAATCCCAGTTCTTCAGCAGCTTTGAGCTTCCCATTAACATTCAAAGATGTTTGTGTGTCTCGATACTTCCTGTTCAGAGACCCATAGGTTTATGTTCCAGTGGCTGCGTGTTTCTGCTGCTGTACACTGCTGTATAGAGACAAGATGTAAACTCCTTCCCGATGTCAGAAAGCAGAAGATGCTGTACAGTGTAAAAGAGTCTCTGTTCTGTTTATTTGGGGTTTTTTAATGCTTCCAGTATTAATGGAAATAAAAGCTACAGAGTTGAGCTCTGGTTGTTAAAGATCTAGATCTTTGTGTTGTCTTTACCATCTGCAACGTTTAACCTGAGAAATTAATTGAAATATTTTGTGTTTTGGAACAAAGTTTGAGCATATAGCAAAGTAATGCTTTTATTATGGTAAACTTGTGTTATGTCCTAAGAGCTTTCGTTTTGTATATGTATAAGGTGGCTTGTGCCATCCTCACCACTACAGCTCACAGTCCTCTCAGGCAAGTTTGTCCCTTACCCTATACCAGTGCTGGGAATGACACCATCACTCATTGCAAATTTCTGCATGTCCATCCTGAGCTGCTGAGCTTGGCTGAGCCCCATGACTCAAACTCACAAGAGAAGTGACACACAAATGGAGAAGTCAGGATGGCGTCACCCTTCACTTTGAAAATCTCTTTTCTGTTCACATTCTGGTGGTTCAGTCTTTTCTTTGCTTGGACTTAGTTTCTCATCTTTATTTCTGGCCTGTTTTTTCCTGCATTTTCTGGAGACTAGTGAACAAGCACAGGTGCCAAACTTCACTTGAAGTGAGCAGGGACCACCCCAAACTGGAGCAGAGATCATACACTCCCTTGTGTTTGTCCAGCATAGCTCTAGGAGACATTGACTGGGGTCTTTAGTATTACCAGAAACAGAAACAAAGGAAAGCAAAACAGATTTGTGAATCTCGGAGTTTGTTTTACTAATGACCAACTTCAGTCTGTTGTCTTCCCCCCCCCTCCTTGAATCAGTGCTTCTTGTCCTTCACTTTTCCCGATACTTGTGCTGCAACCACTCTTCTTTGAATATATCCTATATGCACTCTGAAATACTTTGCAAGTTACAGAAGCTAATGCCTTTATTCTGCCATACTTCAAAAATTCCAGCTTGGATAAAAAAACCCATCTCTGTTTCCACCCAGAACTTGTGTGTCTGGTAAATAGCTGCTGCAGCCCAAGAACAGGTAAAATGACAGTTACCCAAATCAAAAAAAGTAAGTATTCACGTATAAAACCTTTCTCTGAAAGCACTGCCTGTTGTTAGTTCTTAAATCCATTGTACACTTCTAGAAAAACTGAATCACCACATTATCCCCCCTGGACTTTTTGTTGTAGCTGCTCCTACTGATTTAGAAAGCCCTGAAAAGCAAGCAATGTTCTAATCAATAGGGAAAAGTTATCCTGAAGCCCATTTGCTGGCTTCTACATAATCCAAATATAACTGCAGAAAAAACTTAATGCCACCCCCATTCCCCAGCCTCAGAACACAACTAATAACCAGTTTGGAGGTTTCCTGTATCTTCATTACACTGGATGGACACAAGCAGTGGAGCTGGCACTCCCAGTGCTCCTTGCTTAGAACTGGGGCAGTGACAGCAACCAGGCAGCTGAACGGAAACTTGCCCACCCACTCGGAAAGCGATGTTTGAAACCTGCCCAGCTTTGCTCCGCCTGGTGGTTTCTCCCCCTCTTCCTGTTCGCACTAAACAGCCAATCCTGTTGTACCTCTAACTCCAAAGATACAAACCTTTGGCAGCGTGACTGGGATACCCAAATAGCTCCGAAATGGTTTTAAAAGGTAACAAAAGCCAACCCATTAAAAACAAATTATAACTAGTAATCTACTTACTGTTTCACTGTTCAACTCGTCCTGTTTCTCCACAAGAGGAAGATCACTTGGAGGAAACACAGAGAGCATTTAAATATAGTTTTAGAAGAGCTTGTGTAATTTTTTTTCATGGCTTTTCTTTCTAAGAAGAAACTATTATCTGCATTCCTGAGAACCTTCTCCATTCACTTGTCAAGGTCTTTCTTCTTTGTACAGAACCAAGTTCAAGTAAAGGAAGTCCAAAATAGCCAACGGTGCATGTGGGTGCCTCTCCTGGGTGTCATGGTGGAAGTGCATGTTGCTCTAACTCAGCATATGAAAATCAGTCACTGAGTCTCATGGACTCTCCCAGCAGAAACACTCTGGGAAAAGGAGCTGATCCCTGAAAAGGCCTCCATACAGAGAATCTCCAGCTCTCTAATGGCCAGAACCCACACAGGTAAAGGCCTTGCTGTTGTGAGGGGACAGAGAAGGACCACCTTGTCTTCAGTGCAACAAATGCCATTTAGAGAAGCAGTCACCAAGAGCCCTGTCGTGGGCAGCAGAAGCAGGTGGGTGCCCAGAGCAGCAGGATGAGGTGCTTCAGCCTGATCCATCTCAGTGCTAGCACATCTCAGTGCTAGCAAGTCCTTGCTTTTCAGAGTGGTCCCCGGCCAGAGGCATGAGGGGCATTGAATGGACCAGCTGGGAGATGATGCAGCCCAAGGCAGGGAGCTCACATCACACCACTGGCTTTATCAGCCTCTTTGTGAAGGGATGCAAAAATCAAACCTCCATGCTTGCTTGGCAAGCACTGCACAGGCACAGACATACTCCTCTGCAGAAAAACGCATTCATGTGGTGTTAGAAACAAGGAAGCCTCTGAGGGTTCAGGGTCTTGCTTGCCAAGAAGCATGTGATTCGCACTTGAGCTGTGAAAGACAGAGATATTTATCACAGGTGTGAACACGTCTCATGTTTGTGGAAACAGATACTCATAAAAGAACATGTTTAAACTCTCGGTGCTTTTGCTTTTTATCAGCTCTCCAAAGTATGCAGAGTTTGTTCTGAAGCAGGGCAATATATCACAACAGTAATTCCAATCTCTTTAAAAAGTAATCAAGCAGGGCAACAAATAACAATATTATTGCGAAATATGTTCAGAAAACAACCCCTTACAGGGAGAGGCTGGTGTTCTGCTGACACCTAGAGGGAGAAGGTGGAATCCTCTCCCCAAGTACACCTCCACATGGAAATACCCGGCTTCTTCCCCAAAGAACTTCAGCCTGCACCCTACAGACTTACACTACCCATGTGCTCGCTGCTGTGTATCTTCACCTACTAACTTCCGAATGGAAACAAAGCAGAAATACTAACGGTAGCAACACTTCCATTCCCACTGATTGTTACTCAGCAGCTTATCTGTCCCTGTCTCTAGTTCTTTTTGTAGCTTTATGACCAGGAATTTCTCTGCCAACTTGTCACTGCTAAGCAAAAATGTGTATTCCTTCTTAAGAGCAAGGAGGGGAATACTGTCTGGGAAAAGCAAACCTGGTAAATCACTCTACAAGTGCAACAAGGTTTTTAATATTGTACATTTTGGAAGCAGAGATCAGATCCCATTCACTGCACTTACAGGAAAAAAAAAAAGCAAGGATTTGTTGGGGTTTTGATTCAACACAGATAAAGATCAGTAACAGGTAAGTATGTTTATATTACCCTATATCTTGAATTTCATTTTGCATATCATATCACTGGGTAGTATTACAGTAATTGGATGAGGATCTTCTAAGCAACTCTTGTCTGCTTCAAAAACCACTGATGATTCAACTGATGCTCAAGGATTCTGTAGATCCAGAGCACAGTGGCAACTTGTACAACCCTGGGCAGACAAATGGACCACACTCTGTGCTGTACCTCAGTACCCAGGCAGTATCTCTAGCCAAATGTAACATCTCTGCAACATCTGGTTACTGGGTACATGAGCAGATCAGTGCTCTGGGCCCACAGATACATATGATTGATCTGCCCATAGGCAAGATGTAGGGGTTTGCATGCCTCAGCTATAGCACCTCTGAAGACTCGGGGCCTGCTAAGAAAGCATGAGTTGACCAACTCTCACTTCAAGCTGACATTTCCTATGCCACAACATGTTTTTAAGAACACTTT